TTGATCTTCCTCTTGATCTTCCTCTTGATAAACAACTTTCTGCCAACATAAAGTTGCCAGTCGGGGGGCTTCACTCAGGACCCACAGAGCTTTATTTAGTTGTTTCCAACCTGTTGACATGTTTACCCCTTTGGCCATTTATTCTTACCCCCGCAGTCAGACGTATTGATGATTATCCAAAGCTGGAATGTACAATAACTGATTATAAAATAAAAACTATATTACTTATTCTTTTATTTGAGCATTTAGTTCTTAGGCATTTTATTCTTTCCATCTCAAATAAAAGAAAACATGAATATGTTGCCTCCAAGGTAGTAATATCCTATCATCAACCTGCATTTATAAAACTGGAGCTCTTCTGAGTATCTCACTTGTAATCACATTTAAACTTGAATTGGAAACAAAATGCAAAACAAAATTTATAATCAGGCTGACTTAATTAGTTTTATTTTGTTTGTATAAAGAAACCTGAGCTGCTTTGATGAGCTCCGATAGCTCAGTGTGAAAACCAGCTGATCCCAGGCTGTTCTCTAATCCAGTCGGTTCCTCTGCTTGGTTTGCATGTTTGTCACAGCTAAAAATGAACTCAGACATATAAGATAAAAAAAAAAACGTTTTGGCTAATAAAAGCTTGTTTATTTTTTCAATTGGATCCTCAGAAAGCAAAACAGATCCCAGCTCTATTTTTTTTTACTACCTAAGAAATAAAATATTTTCATGTAGTCCTTGTGGTTCTATCAGCGGATCCACTGTTTTAGTGTAGAGATGATCTCATGGTTGACTGGGTTGCTGTGAGGTGGTCAGATGTGTTAGCTGTACAAAAACAAACAAAAATAACAAATCATCAACCCTCCACCACCGTGCTTTATGAGCTGTTTGCTTTTCCTCTCACTTGGCTCTTTGCAGTTGGAAATAGTTTGATGTCTTCAAAGCCTTAAAAAAAAAAAACACCCTCCCCTTAAAGCTGTATAATCTGAGCTTGAGCTCAGAAGAACAAGACGCCCCTCAGACTGCTGAGGGGCGTCTTGTTCTTCTGAGAAGATTAGCGTATTGCTTTCCTTTTGTCCCGTTAGAATAATGGAGTAAAACACTGACCTGATAATTGTTTCCAAATCAATGGCAGCAACAGTCATTTTCTAACTGCTTGAAGGATGTCAAATCATGGATGGCCTCAAACTTTCTGAATCAGAATGAAAGTAAGACAGAAATTATAATGTTTGGTTGTAGTCCAGCAGTTTTTCCATCTGGCTTCTTGAGCCCTCTTACACCTAACATTCGATCATCAGTAAAAAATCTTGGTGTAATATTTGATGACAGGTTGAAATTTGATCACCAGGTTAGTTTGGTCGTAAAAAATAGCTTTTACCAGTTAAGAATTTTATCAAAAGTGAAAGGGTACCTGCCACAAAAAGATCTGGAGACTGTAATCCATGCTTTTATTAATACAAGATTGGATTACTGCAACTCTTTATATGCTGGCTTGGACCACTCACTTTTACACCGTCTGCAGTTGGTACAAAATGCAGCTGCCCGTCTCCTTACTGGGACACGTAAACGTGACCACATACCACCTGTTCTAGCCTCATTGCACTGGCTACAGGTTGTTTAGGATAGATTTTAAAATTTGTTTTTAAAGCTCTTAATGGTCTAGCCCCCCAGTATTTGACTGAGCTTCTCCAAATTCATGCACCGGCCAGAACACTGAGATCCTCTAATCAGCTGCTACTGGCGATGCCTAAAACCAGACTTAAAGCCAAAGGTGATCGTTCCTTTATGGCACCGAGGCTCTGGAATAACTTGCCTTGGCATATTAGATCAGCAGGCTCCTTTGAGGTTTTTAAATCCTCTTTAAAATCACATTTCTTCTCCCTGGCTTTTAATCATGTCTAAGTGGACATTTGGCAAAATTTTATTTTATTTAAAATTTTATTTTATTCTAAAATGTATTTTAATTGAAACATTTACCCTATTCTATTTTTATGTGTTTATGTATTTTAGCCTTCAGCTTTTATCTTATGTTCCTTAACTGTGATTCCTGTACAGCACTTTGGTCAACCCCGGCTGTTTTAAATGTGCTTTATAAATAAAGTTAGAGTTGAGTTGAATAGTTCCTCCTCTCAGGTCCTTGATGAACGTTTCCATCATGTTAAAACACACCTGCCCAACTTTTCATACTTTGACTTTGATGTTTATGGACTTTCAGGCAGATTTTATTTGACTTTTTCAGGATTTCAACCTCTCTGTTATACAGGGTGAATTAGTTTGGCAGATAAACTGAGTAACTTTACCGCAGCGGGGGGGGGCTGGGTGACTAATATGCCCTTTGAAGTTCTGCTCCCTGTCTCTGCAGGCACAAGCCCCCACGCCCCCACCAGCATCCGAGTGGCAGCCTCCTCCACCTGGGCCAACGTGTCCTGGGAGGCGAGCTATGACGGAGGCTTCCAGCAGACATTCTCAGTCTGGTATGGCCATGTGTGAGTCCTCCCAGCATGCTTTGCTTCCTGCTTCTCTTCTTTCATCAAGTCTTCATTTTGTTGCTGGATATGTCTTTTCTAGGGTTACGTTCAGAGCAGTTGTAAACCGCAGACATGGGAATGTACACGGAAATCCAGTTTCAGTGAGTTTTTAAAACCAAAAAAGAAAAGATCATTGCAACCTAACTGAACATGACCCGACTCTGTCCTGCTGCTGCCGCTGCGCTGTTCTGCTTCACCGTTTACAGGCCTCGGTTATCCGGGATCCAACGGTTCTGCAAACGGAGCTTTTCCTGAGTATTAGCAAGGAAAGGAGAATAGAGAAGGGTTCTGACTGTAGGCCAGTGGCTTCTCCTGAATCTTCCTTTATTTACAGCTTACTGACACAAAAACACCACCAAACTATTCCTATTATGGATCCTCAACATTCCTTTGACAAATACATGTTCCTGGTAGACGGAGCAGAGATGGTGACACTGAGTGAAAGGAATCATCTGTTGGTCGTTTCAAAATTAATTATGAACAAAACCAATGCTGCCAACTTAGCGCTTTTGACGCTTAATTTGGTGCCTTTTCAGAGCCCCTAGCGCCTTTATTTAAAAACAATTACTAGCACCAAATCTATAAACGTTTTTTCAATGTAAATGGAGACTTTGGCGACTTAAAAGGACCGAACTCTGTTGTCCTGTGTGAGATGATCATGATCATACAGTAGCAGGCATTAAAAATGGCCTTTCCCAGTAAAAAGCCAGCCGAATCCCCTCCTACTTCCAGCCACTGGCCTTCTCCTAAATTGTTTTACTCTGACTCCAAAATAAAATAAATTTTAAGTGACACATTTGTCTCACATAAAATATCTGCATTTTCAAGCTACAGCCTCGTTCTCTCCCCTTCTGCTCCTCCACTCTCTGTGTGTCTTTGAACTGATGCTACTTTCTTCTTCCTGGTTTTTGTTTTTATTTATTTTTTTATTTGCTGCTTAGCAAACATCTAATGGTGTTTTTTATGTCACCACTTGCTATGTAGTGTGGAACTAAATGGTATTTTTCTTTCATTTCCTTGTAAAACTCAATAAATCTCTAAAACTCTTCAAATCCAAACAATCCTTCCTCCCTGCTTTCCCATCTCTCTGCGCTGCACAGCCAAAAAATGCAGACAAAATATTTCAGGGATCCAGAATCTCCTGCAGCCGGATGACATGAGGGATGCAAATTAGACGATGATGTCATCTAGTGCCTTTTAGGCCAATAGCCTCTGTTGTTGCTGAGGAGTTGGCTTCACTGACCAAAACACCATGCTTGGTTGTCAGGGCAACGGCTCGCTCACTCATTAGAGTCCAAATGCAGGGCGGGATGTTCTGTGCAAGTTTACCTTTCTGATTATGAATATACTTAATAATTGTGAAATTGTGAAAAGTGAAAATTATATTGCTAATGTTTTATTCTTATCAAAGAAACATAGTAATGAAAAAAATGCGTCAAATGGCCTCAAATTCACAGTTATTAGCTTTTGATGATTCTAAATCATAATTTATTAATTAAGACGTAATAACTTATTAAAATTGCTTGGGAAGTGGGCATGGCACAGAGTTATCTTAACCAGTATGTTTTAATAAGCTATATTAATAACCTTTTAATAACTTTGGAGTCTAATCATCCGTCATTAACCATAAAAGTGAAGATGTCTCCGTGTTTCGGCTGTTAACTCAAAAACTCTCAAAGACAAATCAAAATAACAGCAGAAAACCAACATGTATCTGGATAAAATATATCAAACCAATAATTCCCTGAAAAGTAAATATATGTTTAATAACGGTTCTGCTTGTCCACATTAAAAACTACAAGAATAAACAACACAAGAAAACAAATCAGTAATCAGAATGAGTCTTTGGGATCATTTCACAACCTAGATTCAATTAATGAATTAGTAGAAAATCAACATTAATTTCACTGCAAATGATTTGGTTCCTAAGATATAAAATGTTATATTTGTTAAGTAAAATGTTCTTGCTGCATGGACAGAGAGTTTTGCTTAGTTTGAGTAGCTTTTCCCTGGGATTTACTTTTATTTCTTGATTCCAGACACAACCCCTTGTTTTGTAGTGTACCAGCATGTTAATGTAACAGCACTTAATTGGACCCAAATTAGTAGTAGTCGGTATTAAGGAAAATAATAGAAAAATTATGATAAAACACAGTTTTCATGGTCTTTAAAGACGAAAAAGACAGATTTCAATGAGCTCACCTCACAAAAATATGTCTTCTTCTTCTAATAAAATCCAGCAGCTCATATATGCTACGTGCTATTCCTGCAGGCTTTGGATAAAATGTAATAAGCTTCCTGTCCTGACAGTTAGTTCAAGGGATGTTTTTCTTTCAGCCAATCGTAGCAGCGAATCATAACCTTTTGTGAGCTGATAAATCAAACTTTTTCCAAATCATCTCAGAAGGAAATCAAAGATATCTTTCCCATCTATAAATGCACAAAGTGCTTCTCTTTTCTCCTTTATTAAACGAGAAATTATCAATATTTTAGCTAAAAACGAGTCAATAGGCGAATCGACAGGTGAGTCCTCCAGCGTAGCCATGTTTGTAACGCCCCAGCAAGGCCCCTCTGACTGTCGTCATTCCTATATGTCCCGCCCCAAAAATCCCTGCTGGAATGTCATTGGTCCGACTCGCTGGTTGTTACGAGACGGACCTATTAGCGGGAGTATTTCAAGAGTTATTTGTTGTGAGACTGAAAACTCAGATCCCGCGACAATCCAACTTACAGCTCAAGGTTATGTTTTCTATGATAGAATTATAAGAATTTCAGGCTCTTTATCAACCTGAATGTCCTTCAAAACTACGCTGCAGAAAACTGAGGACTCATTGCTGTTCTCTAAGCACTTTAACTACCAATCCTGTAACAGTATGTACAACTATCAGTTAATAAGACGTGGTGGTAAATTACACATAATTATTACTTCATTTGTAACAAAAGAAATGTATTTAAAGTGATAAATCCAGTCCAGACTCAGTACTGTAAAAAAATCATCTGAATCCTAATTTAATTCTGATCCATGCAACCTTTCATGTTTTATTAATAAAGTGAAGTAAGCAGGGAGCAGAAGGAATAGGCAAACAGGCAGGCAGTGGCTTTAATTAAAGATATTCAGAATGACAGCAGGCCTGTGTCTCTGCAGGCCTGCTGTCATTTATGAGTCCCTTCAAAACTTAAGGCTCTAGTTTCTGCGTACGACTTCAAAGCTGCAGAGCAAAAGATAAACAGTAACATGTGAAACTAATCATACCCTATAAACCTTTTCACATTGTTCATGTTTTCTCTCCTACCGGGTTCAAATCCGACCTGTGGTTCTTTGCCGCATGTCTCTGGCCCTCTCTCATACCCACCTTCCTGTCAGCCTACTGTCCAATAAATGAACCACTAGTGTCGTAAAAAACAACAAATTCTGACCATCAAACCTCACATTATATGGAAATATATGAAAATGCTCACAGCTATTAACAACTATGTGTCTCCCTGAGTTGAAGATGAATTTATGACTAATTTATCTAAGCAGCATTTAGTTAATAATCTACTACATCCCCCTTTTTTTTTTTGGACAGACCATTGGCCTCAGAAAATATGCATCGCAATTTTAAATGCAAAACTCAGAAAGATAAAAATGAACTTTGCATAAAAGTTTGCAGAAATCCGTGCAAACCTTTGACCTGGCATGAGAAACTTTTTCAATCCACAGTTACAATCTAAAAGCACCAATGATATAAGATGTGTGTTAGTGAAAAGTTAACTTTAGCTAACGTGGCTTTGGACAGGCTGGCTTTTTGAAAAATATGTCCTCAGGCTGAACATCCTCTGCGTTTGAGGGAGGTGTCATTTCCCTCCACCTCACACTGAGCTACTACTTTGCTTTTCACCATTTACAGAAAATCCCAGTGAAATGCTGTGAAATTTCATTTTTAATGCTACAAAAAGTTAGAAATGTCAAGAGGTTTGCACTGTTATAAATACACTCCAAACATTGAATTACTCTCAGTAACACAATGATAACATTTTAATGAAGACAGTTTGCATTTGCTTAGCAGCTGTGGTCATAGGAGCAAACTGACAGTATTTTTCAGCTATAGATGAATGTATAAAGGAACGTTTTCAGTTTGTGCCGTTAATAGTCATTGCATGCTTGGAATGGTCTGCTTTATTTGGGCGATGAAGGTCATTCAGTGTAAGTGTACGGCATGGCTAAATGGCAGCGCTGAACGCAGCATGACTCCAATGCCATGTTATGAACAATCAAGAAAAACGTGTTTCAAAGTGTGTCTGTTTTACCTGTTTGATGATTATAAGTTATGTAGCAGAAGGAAAGAATCTCATAATTGGTTAGCTAAAGCTGAGCCTCGCAGTCTGCTGGGACAAACTGCGGCCACTCTCTGCTTCTTATCACTAGATCAGGGGTCGGCAAACAAAACTGCTCGAAGTGTCATATTGGACCAAAAGAACAAAAAACACATCTGTCTGGGGTTGCACAAAGTAAAAGTCTTCTATAAGCCTCATATGGAAACATTGTAAGTGTATTAGGCCACTATAAAAATGGACTACGTGGGCTTAAATATGTAATAAACATTCACGATTAAATGTTTATCCAGGAGAAAATGTCACACCATGTGACTCTGATGTATGATATTTGGTGCTTTAAGGTCGTAGGGAAGTCATATTTTAATTTTCATTTGATTTTCTGTCTTAAAATCTGCGTTTTTTCTTCGGCCAGTTAGTTACACGTCTGCCTGAACACCTAAATTCGGCCAATGATATATCAACGATCTTCTGTCAATCACATTTTTTGGGTCATGGCATCTTGATTCATATGTCGCTGCTAATATACACAA